TTTTTAAATGTCTTCATGGTCATATTGATCTAACTCGTTCATTTAATTACTATTTTTTCCCTTGTTACGAGTCAGACGCGTCAAGCGTGCTCAGTGCTGAACTTAAAGATTAATAAGAATCGTACATCAACATTTCGGGATTTCTATTTTAATAGGATAGCAAATTTGTGGAACAACATACCAAATGATGTTAGGCAGGCTGAGTCTATTGACTCTTTTAAGCGTAAACTTACAGTCAAACTAAGTGAAGCGTTCCCCTCAAGATTACATTAATGAATTGATCATTTGAATATTGAAGCCGCCAGCCGTTTCAAGAATGCAATAATGAATTGATTATTTGATTATTGAACCCGCTAGCCTTTAGGAGAGGGTTGGGTTGGAGCTTAAACCTAGTAGGGGACTTAAGTCCTATTGTTTTTGCTCCGGTACTGCTTGTACAAATCGTTAAATAAATAATAAATAAATAAATGTCACTTCCCATAACGTCTGTTGCCTAATGTGTGACATCACAACCGCCTATGGGTCACACACTGCACGCGTATGTTTCTGAAGCAATCAGCTTGTCACGCGATGTCAGTGGCACCTTTGTTCGTTATGCTACTGGACAATCGGAAAGAAGCCATCGACTCAAAAGAATGGAATGACAAGGTGCTCTCAGCGAGGTAATGAGTGAATCTACTTTGAAGTAGCCTTGTGGTTAATTTACGTTCAGCTGAAAGTAATTGGAACTGCTCTCCTCTAATTGGAATTAGTTTCGTCGACGATATGCGTCATTATGACGTAGTTTTAACTCGGACGTTTGTGGATGAAGATTGTGAAATATATCGCTACGTTTGTTTAAACTATGGAAAGATCGCTTCTTGTCATATTTTTGGGCGTTTTGGTTTTGTTCGATGTGACGGCGACTTTTCCTATTTCCCGTGGTCACGGTTTGGAGTATGGGCTGGAACCTGAAGCTGGACATCAAAAATCTAGTGGTTTTATTACAACTGAAACTCATCTGACGACAAAGACAGATTTCTCAAGACATGCGCATGATCTTAACAGCGAGATACACAAGCATCGCAAGCATGTGCGTGGGTCAACACAAGCGCGTTTAGTTTCAAGGGATGAGAGTAGAGCTGCTGACCCAAAGAAGAACTCAAAATTCATAGCGATTTCAATCTTTGTCGGATGTGTGATTTTTTTGTCGCTTTCATTTGTCATAACGTGCTGTGTGCGACACGTTAAGGCCACGAAGCGAGTGAAGGAAGCCACACACGTGGACGTGCGCCCGCGTCAAGAGCCAGACCTTCCACAACAGGTCAGCAAGATCGATGATGATGCAGTTCATATCGACGTAGGGCAGTATTAATACTGTTCGAATTGGACAAGTCGAGTCTAAAATTCAAGTCATACCTTTTTAACCTCAGCAAAGAACCTTTTACCTGTCTTCGAACGTTGTTGTATTGTCTCTCAGAGTAAAATAGCTTAAAAGAGTATTGTGATAAAACTAGATTGTCTTCGTGATCGGAAACTCATCACTTTTCAATTTTCTTAAGTATTTCGTGGCAACCGATCATGCAAAAGAATTTAGCTTACGGAGCAGTATATTTTAGAATTACAATGGAACCTATTATTCTCACAAGTTATCTAAATGTGCTAAGATAAATATCTATTTCTTGAGACAAATATCACTAGCTCTAATGCATCAAATATTTTAAACTACTGTACGCGCAATCGGCTTTAACGCATCACGTGACTAAATATGCCGTATGGGTAAAACAGGCGATCGTTCGGTGATATTTTCTTCATTACATTCCCCAATTTTCAAACTTTGTGCTCAACGCGATAAAGGTCTTCCTTTTTATAACAAAGGAAGAGACAAACTTGTCCGCTCACTTAGTCGTATGAAGGAACACTGAGAGTCTGGAGCATATTTTATAATAAAATAAAGGCTGTTGGTTATTTATATGACATTTATTACACCTTTGTCTGCAGTTTTTTTCCCACCACATGAACTGCGAACTGTTCTGAAGTGGAGTGGTTTTGAAGAAGCGTATCCAACGTGAATTTTTCCATACAATACAATATAATAATTATACTATAGATTTTTGTCCTCGACAATGGCTCCCTGCTCTATTGTGATCGCGTAAGTCAAGATGGTTGTTACAGAAGAAGAAACATGTTCTTTTCTTTGTTCATAAAATCGTATTAGAGAACATACCACACCGTAAACGTTAAGCCGTCCATAAACATTCATCCTGCGCGATTAAAATATTTGAAGAATAATAAACACAATAACTTCCATTTGGCGCGAAAATATGCTCGTCTATTTGTCCTTGCACATTATCTGCCCCTCGAAGCTCACAGTTTTCCTTGAGCTTCGCTCTCGGAAAACTGTTCGCATCTCGGAACAGATAATGTGCGTGGATAAATGTGCGTGGATAAATATCCGTGCATACTTCACGCCAAATGAAGGCCATTGTTTATACAACCAACAGGGTTTTTGTGACATCACGTCTTGCGAACCTTTGCGAACCTTTGCTCAATCTTTTCTTTAATCGTTTACGCAAAACAATGTTGCAAGATCTAGAACAGGTTCAATCTATGTCATTTGTCGGTGGTAACTTTCTAACCGAAGTCAGGGTGATTTGGAAGAAGCTTTTTCTTCTTCTGCGTTCCAGGAGCTGTCGTTTTTCCTTGATATGAGCTCTCCTCAGTTCGTTGGCAATTTTAGAGACCCTCAGATAAAATGTGTTCACCTCTTGACTCAATTCTTGTCGCAAGGACGCAAAATGTTTGTCAGGGCCTGAGTTAAATAACAAGATACATAGATGAGTGAATAAATATAGAATAGAGTGAACGTATAAACATTTTTTTTTGGCCTAATCAGGGTCTGAGGTGATACCTTATCATCCTGCTTACTACGGTAGCACTTCTAATAGTATAAGGCAGCCAAAAACCTTACGTGGAAATTAGATTTTGTGACTTTGATTTCGACTGAGTCTTCAAGTTATGAGCACAAAAAGCGGAATTAAGAATTAGTCTTGCGTTTTCAAAGCGCAAATATTCTTAGCTGTAAGTCTTCTTCTTCTCCCTAAATTGACTTCTCTCGAACTTACCTATTATGTTTGAGTGCTGTTTTACTTTCTTGCAATAGATCTGGCCCACCAACCCGCAAAGAAGTGCAAAGCCCAAGACACTCGTTAGGAAGAGATAGCTGAAAGAGAACTGAGAACTATTTGTGTCAAACAATCCGCCGCTCATCTCCTCCGCAACTGATTCCTCCTGAGGCTGAAACAAAAAAGAACCGAAAGTTGCGTTGAAATTAAATTCAATGATATATTGGAAATGTTTTCAATTAAAGAAAGGTTCCCGTGTGGAAATCAAGGGGGAAAATGAATGAAAGAACTCATATTTTTCAGAGCTTTATATTTAGCGATGGGAAATTGGGCATTGATTTGTAGGCAGAGATGAATACAGAGGGGTGGACTGGACAGACAGAAAGACAGACAGACAGACAGACAGACAGACACAGAAGAGACTGAACAGATAGACAAGAACGACTGGATGGCCAGAGAGGCCAGAGAAAGAGGGACATTGAACAGACAGACAACCTGGTAAACCAGTAAAAAAACAAACCGCGAAGACGGACAAACAAGCCGATCGAACTACGTGAACGAGTCAGCTGCGGCAAGTCCAGAAGGATCCACTTGTTGTCAGTATATTTTATGATTACAAAATCGGCTTACCCTTGGTAACCATATCGTTTCTTGAATCCTGTGATAAATCTCCCGTTTGTTGAATTTTACAAAGTCAAGGAAACACTTTTCTAACTTCATTGACGGCCCTGCCAGAACCACTCCGTAGGTCTTCTTATAGTCGAAGACTTTAATTACGCGCAAATTACGGTTGGAGGACAGATGCTTTTGCATAGACAGGACATACACGTCAATAAGGGCACCATCTATTTCTTTGTCTTTGAGAGCTTTGTTTATGGCATAGTATGTATGATACTGTTGAACTGTAAAACAGAAGAAAAGCGCAATTGATGTTAACTAATACTAAACTCTTCCTAAATCAGGAAAGAACAATATATTGCATGCTATCAAGCTACGATTGGAGAACGTCTGGACAGGTTTTTGAAAATTGAAAGCAAAACCAAACTACACATTGTGAGAAGCTGAAGGGAAATGCATGGAATCTGACCTCTTTTCCATGCCGAAAAAAAAATTTCTCTCGGAACGAATCGAAAGGGAAGTTTAAATTTAGCAAATAAAAATAACGTGAAGTCAAGCAACCACCTCCTACACGGATAATTCATTTTCTTGTTCAGTAACGGTTGGTTAAAGTTCTCAAAGAAATAAGTGAAAAGTTAGCCCGGCCATGGTATCTAGAGGGAGGACTTGTCTCAGGTACCCGAGTACATATCTGTAACAGGCCCTAAGAAAGAATCGAGGAGTTGGACGCAGTCAAACAGAAACACGGCGGAAAATTGTCAACAAGTGGTTTTTAAAGAAAGTGTAAAATAATCGATAGTGGATGATGACTTGTTCTCAAGTAACTATACCAACGTGTCATACCTGGATTCATATTGGCCACCTTGCGCAGTCCAAGTAAATATTCCGGGGAACCTTGGATGGCTCCAACCTAAGGAAAACGTAAGGCTTCAGTTTGGGACGTGTCCTCTGTGATACTCGAAACTCATTCTTTTTATAAGTAAATAGGACCTTTCACCGTGCCCAAAGCCGATTGGGAGTCCGAAGGTATCGTAGGAGACTATCGGGTGTCTTCGGATAATGACCTTGATTTCGTTTAGTCTCGACATGATTAGCTGAGCAAACCTTAGAACAACAATTTCCATGGACTAACTTGATTATTACATCCTATAATAGTTTTACTGGGTTCGGTCTTCTGCACAGCGGCGTTCCTGGGGCTTTTTCCGAAGTAAAATGTTGCTTCAGTTGTCAGTCTAAGCAGCCATTGGTATTCTTTTATTTTAGTGTGGGTTATCAAATTTGATAACTATCCCAAATTGTCTCTCCAATGACTGTAACCTCTAGGCTGTGCTTACCCTAGCACCGTAAACTTTCCTGTTAGTGGTTTGAAGCATAGAGTATGATATAAGAGCATTGGTCATATCAGCTACAAGAAACCACATCATAACGAGGCCGAATAGTGTCCAGGCTATCCCAAAAAGTCGCCCCAGAAAAGTACGAGGAATCTTGTCACCATAACTTGAAAAACAAAGTGAAAAAAAATAATTAATTTTTCCAATAGTTATTAACGAAGGCGTTGTACATAACCAATTTTGCATCTATTTATAAGCGTTCTACCAGGAACAATACAGAAGTTTCGTGCCGTCATTTCGCTATTAAGAAACAAGCATTACGTTGACTTTAGCCATACCTTCTTCCATCAACCAATTTGAAAAAGTGACTATTTTCACAATCAAGATGAAATTTTCTGTTAATGATCGCACTAGTCTCGCCTATAACCCAGCCTTTACCCCAAGATGATAGACTCCTCACCCTAGTGTCGTGCATGTGATAAAGGACCACCAAAATCCTTCCCATAATCCCCCGGTGAACGAACTTGGAAACTCCTCCGGGTTAGCAGTCGATTCCTATCAAATATGAAAGGAGAACACAGCGGACTCGTAAGGAAGATCTTAAACATATATACTAGACATGTATATGTTGTAGTTCAGTTTTATCCTTGATTCAAATTTTATTTTCTTTTGTTTCAAACTCATTTCATACTGGAGTAAATGGCTTGAACCCGGGGGTAACATGTGAAGGTGTAGTCTGATCGTCCGGGTGAGTGGAGTCACTACCACCGACAACAGTCCTTCTCAGGACTACACTCACCCGGACGATCAGACTACACCTTCTCATTTTCATACATTAACATGAGCGAGAACAAAGGAAAATAAAATTTGAACAAAGGATAAAATTGAACTACAACATATATGTTTTGTTACTTTTAACACCATTCTAAGAAGCGCACGTCATTAGCATTTATTCTTGAAAATGTATACCTATTTTAATCATTTTTCATAAGGCTAGAATTTTTTAGCGAGCAACTGCCGGTTCATGAAACCAAAATTAAACAATTAAATTATGAAAAACGAGCACCAAGCGATTTGCACCAGACTGTGCATTAAGCCTATCAGTGTCTAAGACCAAAGTAAGCGAACATGAAAAAGATTAAAGATGACATTTATTGCTCGCCCGTATCCACAAATGTGGGTGCTAAATTAAAACGACGATCAACTGTACGTAGGCAATGGAATATCTTCATTTAGATTTTTTTAAGAATTTGCAGCTCTTTCAATTAAGGGTAAGAGAAAGTTGGTGACAAGAAGATTACTTTATTTTCATTTGACAATTTATAGCATATAAATCACAGTTGACCTTGGAGGCTTATCATGACTCAGCAATTCCTCTCTGAACGAACTCATTTCAACCTTCCATCATTAATTGACAGAATACCCACCTTTGGATCACAAGAAACTATACTACACAAAAAGAACTCATTCAACTTACCAGAACCCATATAACACTTGCGGCCAGCACCATCATTAACAATGACAGGAGAAACATAGGAAAGCAGGCAGTAGTGACCCATATCACAAAACTGGCTCTCTCATCAAGTGACGGTACAGGAGCGACAAAAGCCACCCCGGGCGACTCCATTAAGGGTACGTAGCGATACACCCCAAATGTAGATTGACCCCTGTATCCCTCTATGGGAAAGCTGAAGTCCGACTCGTACTCAATCTTGTGTACTGACGACACGTTATCCTTTTCAGCGGTTACTCCTCCTCTGTCATGCTCATAATCCACTGAAGAGGATCCGTGGCCATTGGCGCAAGGTAGACAACACGTGTGAGTTGCCCAGTTTAATATGAATGGAATAGTTCCCTTGTTAGAAACCTTGACACTTTTCATGTAAGGAGGCAGGGAATGCCAGTTGGTCGTCATTTGCAGTGGGCATCTGCAAGTTTCTGGAACAAAATATTCATGATAATTATTAAATATTAAAATATTCATGATAATTCAAGAAAGAACCAGTTCGATTCTTTCGTTTCGCTGGAAACAAGAGATAATACGCACTCTTTTTTGTACTGGTGCTTGCGGCTATATTTTTTTTCTCCAAAAAATTAAATATGCAATAATCTACTAAGACGTTTTATTTTCATGATTTCTTAATTTGAGCTTACAAAGAGAAAGACGGGAAAACCCGAAAAACATTTTAAGCCATAACCTCATGAGTAGCTGAATTTTAAGTTGTTAATGACTTGAAATATCAACCTAGGTTTTTTTCTTTTCTCTGTCTCGTTTTTCTGGCCATTCTTTTTAACAACTTCTACGTACCAGCTATTATGCTTCGAGTGTCCATTCCGTCCCCTTTCACTGTGAATGCTAACACTCGTATGTCATATACAGCGTAATTCAGAAGCTGTGTCAAGGTAATATTTAGTGCTGTTGGTTTGGCTGTCGCAGTTACCGTAGGTTGCCTTACGTTTACTTCAGCTATACTTAGTACTCTGTAGAGGATGCGATATCCTAACAAGATACCGTGCACAAAACCCTCTGGGACTGGTTTCCAGGAAACCAAAATGGAATGTGGTCCGCTCAAGTTAACCGCGCTAGGTCCCATAGGTGGCTTACTAGGGACTTAAAAAACAAAAAAATGCACCTTTCACTTGGTTTAGTATTTTTAATAATTGGACATTATTGTTTTGCTAGCTTTATGCACTTGGCGCTTCCTATCTTTTTCCTGTTACGTCGAAGAAAGATGCCATCGAAGTTTGATCGTCCACAATATGAAATCGGGCGCGTAGCTCCCTTCAAGCTACTAAGCGCGGGCTTACAAACTTTTCTCGGTACATTTAAATTTCTCGGAATATACATACCTTCCCCAACCGCACTATACTTACGAAGTATGAAACAGGCTTACAAGCCAAACATGACTTGCTACGCCCCGGCAGCTTTGTTAATTGCAATACATCATATTCAGCTTTGCCCTACCCGCGCGGTACTGGGTTTAGTTTGCATATTATGGCATTGACGATGTGCTCTAGTTTGTTGTTGACGTTCCGTTTTCGTTTTTGTCACGTTTCCATCTAGTCTACAAATCTTTCCAATCAGATCTTACGATTAAGACCAAGCTAAGCAAGATCATTAGAGTCGAATCATCTAATCAGATCTTACGAGTCAGATTGTAAGGATTGAAACACATTATTGAAATGGATATAAAAGATCAAGTGGAACATTTATTCTACAAGTTTACTCATCTGTGATTATTGTAACGTAGTCAGGAGATCTATACCTGAGCTACATAACACAGCTAAAGAACACCACGATTTAATCTGGCTGTATGTTGGCTATTGCAAAAAAAAATACCGTACAGAACACGTGTGCGTACATATGGGATATATCAGTTTTTATTATAGTGCGCAAGCCCGTAAAAAAATATATATATTTGGTGTGTCTCCAGCAGCAGCAAGAGATCACATCATCAGAATCACGAGGCCCATGACATTCTGGTAAAATTTCTTGTATCCAGATAATATCACAATTATTCTACTCAATTATTTAACAACTAAGATGGTCGCAATATACTTACTGTCCTCATCTGTGCTCACGTTATAAGTTAGGCTTATTTGGCCGTCGCCTTTACTCGTAAAGCCAACAACTTGGAAGGAATAATAAGTAAACTTTTTTAGGTTGAATATCCTAAGAGATGTTGCATTCGGGGGTAAGGTTCGAATTGTTTCGTTAATAGTTTCGACTGATCTTCTGTTCCTTCTTCCCCCATAATATTCGTTTGCGCGCTGATGATAAAACACTCGGTATCCCAGGAGAATGCCATGAATGAGTTTCTTGGGAATGTGTTCCCATGTGATCAATAGACTTGTGGAACTTGTGTTAGTTGAGATGATATTCAGCGGTGGATGACTCGGCACTAAACACAAATGAAAGAGAAAAAAATACTAGGAGTATATATTGTGGACAGGTTTTGTCAAATAAGTCTCATCAAGTTTCCTCTTTCTCCGATTTACCTTCAACTCTCCGTCAACATAAATAATTGAGTACACTATTAATCGCCCTCCGACAATCCCTGGCTGGTCTTTGAGAAATTCTGGGGTCTGGACCCAAAGCAACTGCTATTTCAGTACTGGTACAATTATTTAATCTGTCAATCAAAATTTAGTGAGACATTTCGAGGCTGGTAGGACGCGGACTTTTGTCTTGACCAAGAGACTCATGGTACACTTTCCTCGTCGAGCATCGCGCTCAAAGTCCCGTTCGCAAAGTTGAGATGTTACCAGACGTCTGGCCCTCTATCGCAGAAGGATTCCAACCGCACGTTCACGAGTTGCAAATATACGACGAAAATTCGTCAAATACTTATGAAAAAAAAATTGGGATGACTTGATAACGGCTGTGCAAGAGGTAGGGCACAGTAAACGCAACCTAATCACTATGATTGTAGCTTTGTTACTTTCAGGGTTTTTTTTGAGAGTCGGTAGCATTTAAACGGCTGTTCAACTAAATGTTACCTGCTATTTCACCAAGATCCGGGACTAAAAACATTCGCCGAAGTTATCCAACGATTTTTCCAACTTTTTGGAAATATATCACTTGTCTCCATCCAAACAATGTTTTGAAGATGTCTATCACATAATACTGGTTTGAAAATACATCATATGTTGAAGAAATCCTGCGTGTTTTGATCAGATTCATCCCTCCTTTCCATTCTTATCTCGGCCAAACGAAAAGGCCCAGCATTCATTGAGAAACGTCACGGTTGACAAAATGGCGTCCACACATGGAAAACTCTTGCCCCTAGATGCCTATGCAGCCCTCACACCCCTGGCAGGGGGGAAGGTAATAAAGTTGCCTGCCATTTCTTACTCCCCCCCCCCCCCCCCCCCACTACGAAAAAACGCAGCAAGAACACTGACTTTATATCTTACCATCTTGATCTGTGATGATAATAATGGGTGGACTATTTACACCAAAGAACTTGCTGATTCCTTGAATTTGAAAACTGTAGTTGGTATACTTTTCAAGATTTGTCAGGTTTACAGACAATTGGTCGATTGGCATTCTTAGCACATGCGTCTTTACCGGATAATTCAAATCGTTCAATTCGACGTAGACTACTCTGTATTCCCGTAAAACGCCAGCCACTAATTCCTGTGGAATAGCAGACCACTGTAAGTGGATAGACCGAGAGGTAGTGTTGTACCCAGTCACATTCCAGGGGTATACCTGAGGTGCTGTAGAGACAATGAAACAAGAGCTGAAAAAAAATTTTTTACAGAGCATCTCAATTCAAAGTCGAATGTGAAAAGCAACTCATATTTTGAGAAAAGATTAGTGGACAAGCAATCTACCGAGCAAAAGACGACTTTACAGCTAGATTTCTCCTTTTCCTTCCTGACTGTTGATGGGTTAAGAAGTCGCATTTTCCCCCGTGAGGCTCCAAACATGATGATTCCAGAAGCTGGAATTTTAAAAATCACCATGTCTTTGCGTAATGAAGAACTCGCTTATGAAAGGAAAACACTAAAAGGTTCAAATTCACTAAAAGACTGATTCGGGTGCAAAAATAATTTTGAATTTTTATTTTAAAGGAACTCTGGACCTAACATCACATTAAAGGCAACTGTGTCTGAATTCTTCTGTCATGTTTCTTACCTTCTTCTTCTGTTCTTACGATTATTGGCGGGCTCTTTGGGCCATTTCCTTTTATGGTAAATGCGAGCACTTGTATCGTGTAGAAGGTATATGGTCTTAGAAAGCTTAAAGTGACGTTTTTTCTTGGAAATGGAACAGTTTCATTAAAGACTTCGTCCGATGACTCATTGAAGAAAACCATATATCCAAGCAGGATGCCATTGACGTCACGAAAGGGAACTTCCTCCCAAAGGACCTGGATGTCATGTTTGCTGATGTTGTAGCCAAAAACGTGTTGCGGGGGAGCTCCTGGGGCTAAAGATAAATTGACATACTTATATGATTCATCAACGTTTAGTTTGATATCCCGGTCTTTTAATCCCTTTCCAAGGACGGCGCTTCTAGTAGGGCAGGAGGAGCATTTGCCCCACCAATCATAGACAATACAAAAAAGAGGAGGATGGTGAATATGAGGGAACCTGAGATATAAAGAGTGGACACATCGTTTGACCAGATTATCGAACGGACTGTGCATATCAAATTCACCAAATTTATTACATCCATTTTGAAATCACTGGTGGTCCCTGTAATCTGATTGGCTCTAATTGGTGCGATTTATTCACGAATCGCACCTTTTTTTTGCTCAAAATCGCATCATTTTACGCTTGACTGAGTCTTTGACACATGACGTCCGTCTTTCTGTTTTGCATACAAAATAAGATGTAAAAGGGTTTCCGGTTCCACTTATTATTTAAAACCCGGCTCAGTACTGCATCAGTAAAATATTTGAATTGACCAAGTCCTGTATTTGGGCGATTTCAAAATGGATGTAATAAAGTGGCAATTGAACTTCGTGTCGAGCAATTCTGGTCTGAAATCATACTTGTGATTTCAAATCGAACGAGCTCTGCGCGCTCGTTCGATTTTGAAATCACGCGTATATGATTTCAACCCAAATTGCACTCCACTCAGTTCAATTACCATTATAAATATTACCAGTACTTTAATTTTGCTCATCCAAAGTCAACCCTCCGCTCAGTGAGGGGAAATTAGAGCTGAGTGGAGGACTGACATCGATTCTAGGTTTAAGTCGAGGGTCTACAGTCGTGGTTTTTACGGAAGGAAAACCTCTGGACCCAGAACAGACAAAAAATTCCACCCATATGTGTAACCCAGCCCGGGATGTAGCTGAACGTGTTACTAGAAACCACAGATAAAACGATGAGCTACGTACAGGGTAAGCTTTTGAAGATACAGGCTAATGACAACAGTTTCAGAAATCGTTTCAGAACTACAACGACGAATGAAGAGCGTTATCATCCTGACTTCACCATTCCTGCTCTTTCTTGATATATTTTAAACAACGAATGAAAATTTATATCACTTGTTACTTTCCTTACCATCCTGATCTGTTGTGCAGTTGATACTGTAAAAAGGACCTGCTCCCTTCACTGTAAAGGCACAAACCCTGAATTGATACTCAACGTACTCGTCTAAACTTTCCACCTCCAGAGACAATGTTGAGCTGTGCACTTGTACTTGTACGGTGGATTCCAGACCATCTATTCTGTTGTAAGTGATGAGGTAACCACGGGGTATGCCGTGAAGAAAGTAGGGGTCAGCCAATGGCTTCCATGACAATAAGATGGATGTAGAGCTCGTATTCCAGGCGGCAATATGCGAGGGCCTCCTGGTTGGCACTAGGAGAAAAAGAGTATTCATTTTATGGCGTTTTTGCAGTTGTTATTTAGAAAATTGTCCATCATGTGATTTCAAGACCATGCATGCAAACGAGAGGGAACTAAGATTAGATGACTTGGGCCTCGTGCACACTGGGTTGGATATGTTTGAAAACGGCGTTTCCACTTTGAAAAGGCAAAAAGAAGTTTCCTCTCTACAACGAAGAAGGAATGAAATGTTTTCCATTCATACTTGCCGGATCGTTGATGTAAAAGGGGAGAGGATGGGGTGGGGAGAGGCGATGGGTGGCGGAAACGCATGACTGCATCCATGAAAATGCACATATCCCACAAAAAACTGCGTCTTTTAAAATCATCCACAATAAGAAGCATTTTTGAAAAGCTCCGCTTCCTGACAGACATTTCAACCCGATTAGCGTGTACGGAGGGCTTACCAATGGAGTCAATCTACATTTTCAAATTATAAGTTGCATGATATGGATAGCGACTGAGCGTTTTAGACTCAGGTATAATTTTTTTCTCTTAGATCTTCATGTGACTGTTATAACGACCTCTGAGCTTTTTCAGAAGAGGCTTGCAGCAAGGTTCAAACTTGGTGAAAATTTGAAAATGAAATCCCATCTGTCTGCTACAACAATATGCCTAAGGAATAGATTCAAAGTATTACAACCAATCAATGTTTCCATGGAAACAGAGTTCCACATATGTCTTTTCTTACAGTGTACCAATCTATAACCCGGCGTCAAAAATTTAAAAATTTAAAGTTACGAAAGAAAATATTCGTTACAGAAACTGGTGAAACTCTTTCGGGTGCGCAAAAAAATTGTTAGAAGGCACTAACCTCGCATACAACCAAGTGTTTTGACATCGAAACCATATGTATTTCGCTAATCAAAACAGATGGCATCTGTTTTTCTTAGCGAAATGAGTATCTTGATCTTTACAATCATTCTTAATTCAAGACATGGAAAACTAGTATACATACAAATTGCGTTTATAATCAGAGTATGTGTAAAGTTTCGAGCTCACGTTGATACGATTAGAAATTGCTCTACACTGGGCTAGCGCTGAGCAATGGGAAAGCAAAACCTTGAGCGACTGTATTGCTCCGTAGTTTTAGCTGAAGAAACTCACGAATGGTTGGTGTATATTTTAGCGACGAACATTTTGCTTTCGATTACAGCTTTCACGTGGAATTTCCTGACGCTTTTGGCCTTGCGCAAGGAAACTTCACTCAATCGGCCGTCTAAGCTCTTGCTTCGTTGTCTCTCTATCTCTGATCTCGGGGTTGGTCTTATTTCAGGGCCCCTCCATGTCGCTTATATATTAACACTAACAAACAGACGTTGGGACGTCTGTCCGTATATATTATTCTCTGGCACCATAGCAAGCTACACTTTAAGTGGAGTCACTTTGCTGACGACGACCGCCGTAAGCGTGAACAGACTTCTCGCCCTCTTACTAGGCCTACACTACAAAGATGTTGTCACTTCAAAGCGAACGCATGTGCTACTCCTCGCCTTTTGGATTGTGTGCGCTATCTCAGGAACGTTGTTTTTTGTTAACTACTTTCTAAGCTTTTTATACGCTACTGTAGTAATATCATTGTGTTTGCTGACGTCTATTTTCTCATATACTAAAATATTTTGCTCTCTTAGTAATCATCGGAGACAAGTTTTCCCACAGGAAATGAATGAAACTTGTCGCCGATTAGATAAAGCGCGACATCAGAAGCCAACGCTCGCTGCGCTGTGGCTGCAGGTCGCGTTAGTTTTGTGTTATTTGCCGTTTTCTGCGGTAAGTTTTGTGGGAGCCAAGACCTCGGCTCACGAAAAAACGTCCTCGTCATTTTTCCTTGCTAGAGTGATAACAATCACTATGGTATATCTACACTCGTCACTGAACCCCGTTCTTTACTTTTGGAAGATGAAGTCAGTGAGACGAGCAGTGAAAAAGACCATTCAAAACATACTGTGTTGGCAAAGAAATTAACTGTCACTAAATTTTCCGAGCGATCTATTTATTTTGATGTTCAACAGCTGCTTGAAGATATGAGTTGTTGTGTTCCCTTAGAAAAGGGAAAAAAAAAAAAAAAAACAGGTGAGCTCGCTCTGAATTCATTCACACATGTTTGGATTTCCCTTGAAGAAACTGGGGATTGGGGATTTTTGTCTGATACAAGGAAGAGACTTAGGCAGTTTTGATCTGACGTAGGGATTTGTATGTGCGCTTCGAACATAAATTTGAAACTATTTTCATAATATGCAGTCTTGCACCATGAACATCGGAAAATCTGCACTAACATTAGAGAATATTCCAAAGTCTTAATGCAATTGGTTACCCCGCTAAATAGTGAAAATCTTTCTTATATCAAAAAACAAACATGTAAGATAGCGCACAAAAAGTTTAAAAAAGAATACGACAGCGTTTGCAGCTGAAAGATCGCCAGATGTTCTACGTCACCATACACAACATCAATTTAAATCTTTTGTTCTCATGTGACTTCCGCCTTTTTAGAAGGAAAAAGAAAATGCAAATGTTATAGAAATATTTTATCATCGAGTACTAAAATGTCGTTATGGAAGAACCACATTATAATAATAATAATAATAATAATAGTAATAATAATAATAATAACGAATATTTATACAGGATAGCCTTTCAGTGCAGGAGCACTGTTATCAAGGGGGTCCTGTCTAAATAACATAATATAAGGATAAAAACTAGAATAAGATAAGAATGACTACGCACCTAATTAAATGCCCTATGCAAAACATTGATCTAAAGACTCCCTAAATGGTACCCTACTGCTAATTTGCTTGATTTTTAAGGGTAAAAAATTAAAAGCTGAAGCTCCTAAAAAATAAAAACTTTTCCGAGCAAAGTCAAGTCTCACTTTCAGCAGAGCAACGGTGGTCTCTTTGTTCCTCGTATTAAAATCGTGGGTTAACAATTTAAAATATTCTTTGAAAGGACTACAAACATTGCCTTTTAGGCAATCAAAAACAAATAAACAAGCCTTTTTCTTTAAAAAATTTTCAATTGTGGGCAGACGGAGTTCACAGTTTAGACATTTTGAGTTTTGCAGAATAATCCTGTGACTACGTTGTTCCAGGTTTCTTATTTGGCATCTTCGTGTCTCTGACCAACCAAGCGTAATTTGACCGAAATAAGTGAATATGGACATTATCATTGCTCTGTAGATTCGTTCAGCGCTTAAGGTGTCAGTGTTAGAACGGATTCGTCGTAATAAATTCACTCTTCCTGCAGATTTCTTGTATGTTTTGTAAAAGTGCTTGTGAAGATTCAATGTAGGCTCCAGATAGACACCTAGGTACTTTTAATTTGTAGTCGTGTCGATGCGAGATCCACTTACTGAGAGGTTTAGTTCTTTCCACGATTTCATCTTTGAAGATCCTGCCCGGCGGAAAATATCCTAGACTGGTAAAAATTATAATCTTTTAGGAGATTTGTCCTCGTTTATAACTAATTTTGGCCGATCTTGGAAACAATCCTCTGGCCCTTTAGCCTCTAAGAATGATCTGCATCTAATACCTCCTTACAGCATCGCCACTGAATCAATCATAAAGTTCATGCGGGTGGAGGAAATGATTGCAAAATCTTTTGACGGCATCTTATACAAGTTCTCCCAGTAAGTATGGAAGGAAGCGGATATAGAATGGTAGGGAGAAAAGGTATACAGTCCTCAAGGACTGTTTGCCAGTCATAGTACCAATTATTACAAGCATTATGAATAACTCATTTAGATCTAATTGTTTCCCGAAACTATGGAAAATGGCTGAAGTTACTCCTGTGTTAAAGTCTGGCAACCCCGAAGATTCCTGTAATCACAGGCCCATCTCATTACTGCCAGTACTATCTAAGGTATCTGAGAGATTAGCTCACCGTCAGTTCCTTGACTACATAACCAACCACCAACAAGAAGCTATCTAAAAATCAGAGCGCTAATCGAAAATGTCACTCCACGGAAACTTCTCTCTTACACGTAACGGATGATTTTCTCATGGCTATTGATAAGAGTGAAGTGTCCTTTGTCGTGCTACTAGATATGTCTAAGGCATTCGACAGTATCAGACATGATATTCTCCTTCAGAAGTTACAGAGTATAGGTGTTGCCTCTTCGAGCTTGGAGTGGTTTCATAAATACCTGTCTGGTCGTAGCCAGAGATTGTGCATTGGGGATGTTATCTCAGACCCGCTTCCTCTTAAATTCGGAGTTCCTCAGGGTTCTATCTTGGGGCCCGTGTTATTTACCATCTATGTAAATGATCTCTTGTCCGTTCCAACCCACTGCAAATCTGTGTGCTACGTCGATGACTGTAAATTATACCTATCCTTTCGCTCAACTGACATCGCTCGCGTATTTGGCTATCTGAACGAAGATTTGAGTGAAATCTGCCGATGGTGCTGTCAGTTTTCACTTCTAATAAACCCAGCTAAAACTACAATCTTACTAGTTGGTGTCCCTCAACTACTGCGGAAATTGTCTCCAACGTCAATTTCACTCTTTGGAAAGGAAATAACACCAGTCCCTGTGGCAAAGGACCTTGGAGTCTACATCGACCAGTCCTTAACATATAACGATCATATTGTTAAAAGTACTTCTAACTGTATTTTCAAAGTAGTACAGATCAGCAGGATCAAACACCTTTTGGACAGGAAAACTCTCTTACTTTTGATGAACGCTTTTGTCTTTAGTACAATGTATTTNTAAAAAGGTAAACCAAACGATGAGCTCCCAGTAGAAGGATCCGCGGAGGATACAGTGCTTCAATGAAAATATTAAGTAAGTGTAAAACGATGAAACATGAAGCAAACTTCTAACTGTTCCAGCTTTAATGTGGCGACGTTTCGGCCTTCGGCCTTCTTCAGGTGGAACGTATTTACATAAAAACTAAAAACTAAAAGTCCTAGTAGGTTTACAGAATGACCTGAATTTATACTAAACGTAAGAAATATAAATAGTATTGCGTAATGCATTCCAGACCTAAATAATAGGATATAATAATAAGTAAAAGGCAAGAATGTGCAAGGGGCGAAATAACCACGATTGGTTGCGAAGAACTCAATTACATTGTGTAAATGATGCCCTAATTACGTATTATAGCGGACGCGATTTTTGGATCTGAATTCGCGTGTTTTGTTAAGTCCGTGGGGACTAAGTATACAAAGTTGTGCGGTCCAGTAGGCCTCTCTCGTATGTAATAATCTATCAATATAAGCTGCGTCCCCTTGGCTGGTAATTTTCTCAATAACAATAAAATTAATTTCAGAAATTTCGTGTTTGGTACAATTGAAGTGGACTGCAAGCTCGCACGTTTTTTTTTTGTTTGTTCGCATAGACGACTTGTGATTACGAAAACGCACCTTGAATTCAGTGGAAGTAGAACCCACGTATTGTAAATTGCATTTCTAACACGAGGCCAAGTAAACAACATTTTTGTAAGAGCAAGACAAGTTTTGGCAAATCTTATAGGTTCGGCCTGTGGAAAAACTCTTAAATTTGGAATCTTGAATTAAAAAAATCTTGCAAAGGTCGCATCTAGAAGAGCAACTAAAACACCCTCCCGTTTCCTTCTCTGCCTGACTAACTTTCCCGCCCACACAAAATCTAGAAGGCGCCAAAATGTCTTTGAGGTTTTTGGTACGGCGATATGCTGGAAGAATCGATTTTGATGAAAAAATTTCCGTTAACTCAGGTGACGATTTTAAGAGATGAGCATGCTTTTGGATAACCCTCTGAATATCAGGGAGGATAGGATTGTAGTCGAGGACTAACGGAAATACTTTTTTGTTGGACTTGACATTTTTCTTGAGGAGTACTGATCTTTCAATTCTCACTAATTCTTACTAATGTTACTATGACATTACAATAATTTAATGTAGGCTTTGTAACTGAAAAACCCAGCTTGAGAGTTGCAATAAACGTATGTATGTATGTATGTATGTAGGTATATATGTATGCATACCCATCAAGAAATTATAAACACTTTATACTCTAAGTTAGGTTGTAAAGGGTCGGTTAGCGGTGGGTGCACCCACCACTTGCTCATTTCGCCTATCCTCATACCTTCCTCCCTTTCCACCCAAAACACCCACAAAAGAAATGGCGCCCTTGTTTGAGTCTTAACCTACAAGTACTTCAGGTAGAATGTATAACTTTAGTCGGGCAGTTTTATTCGAATTATGGGCTATGCTGTTCTAGAATGTCCAACAAGAAAAATATCAACATTTTTTAAAGGCTTAGCAGGAGTCAATTTGAAAATTGAGAAGTTTACTTTCTTTTCCAACAGCCACCGTATTTACTTCAAACTCTACCAAACAGACCATCACTGACTTCAACCTTAATAACTTTGAATGATTCTTTATTATAAGAATTGAAATGTCATATGCTTACTCCTCTTTTTATTCCTTTTGCTGCTCGAAACTTTGGCTTCGACGCATATAAGACCATTTATAATTCATTTATAATTCATGTCACGTTGCAACTTTCAATGGAAATGAAAATACAAAGTAAACAGTGCGGGCTGGCTTCCCTCCATGCTAAATAAAAAAATCTATGTATGACCTCTTTTACTTCAGCATGGTTTGGAGTCAAAATTAAAGAACCGTTGACGATTTTGGCTGCCGGAACGTGCCTTTGTACATACATCATCGCTCAGCCAACTGCTCATACAGCAAACTTAACCCAGAGCCGTTTTTATCAGTTTCATGAATTTCAATCGATCAAGTCAAATTTTCCATTTATAGCCAAAGTTAAATGAAAACTAAATCAAAAGGTAAAAAAAAATTTTCGGGTCCCGTATTTCTATCTTCTTCCACTATCATATCACAACGCCGAGGTTAAATAGACTTTAAATACAAACGCGACCATTTTGATAACTTTAAAATTAAAAAATAACAAATTGAGAAAGCTTTTTAGATGAAAAACCAATATTGAACTGACATAGAAGTTGATAAATTGCAAAGACAGGTTATCATCAATAGATTAAATGGTTCATTTATCTCTTTTTGGCTCTGCAGCATATTTAGGCAAAACTTAAATTAATTTTTTTCTTGACTCTGCAGCCTATTTATGCAAAACTTAATTTCTCATAATGACTGAACGTTTTTTACTCCAGGGTAAATGTATTCAAAATTAAAATGTCGATATTATAATTGTGATAGCAGTGTTGGAGAACTCTTCTTTCCAGATGTAATGAAGATTAAAACGTCAAGTCTACCAGCCAATGCGAGTCACAATTGATAGCCTGATGGATCGCCCCCCAATCAGAACCGAAAACCTCGCTCAGTGGAAGTGCTGGTAAGTACTACGGACGTGCTCATTTCAAAAATACATAATTCAAGATTTGATGATAATTAAAGGCATAATGTATCTTTGCGTCGTTGTCGACAATCTTGAATTGTCCGCTATTTTGACGCGATGTCAGTAGTAGGAGGGTAATGAATAAAAGACAGGTGAAATTGACCTCAGTTTGAACCAAATTAATGAAAACCCCGCTTTTGAAACAGAAGTAATATATGAATGATTCACAACTGGCGTTGAATGCTGCGACTATTTATAGCCAGGCAATACAACCTTTTCACGTACGGTACCGAAGTGCTTCATTCATCCCAATTCAGAAAAAAACTTTGCGATTCACAAGAAAAAGATAAGGATGGAAAACGAAACTTTCGTTGGAAAACAAACAACTGCGGAGAACTTATACTGTTCCCTTGACGAAGCCCTTGTTGAAGACGTGAAGCAGTTGTTGATATTTTTCGCAGCTTTTAACATTTTTCTGTCCTTGGTTGCATTTCTGGGAAACGCTGTAATACTCGATGCGCTTCGTAAAGAGTCTTCCATCCGTCCACCCTCAAAGCTCTTTTTTCGCTGTCTTGCAACAACTGATATTTGCGTTGGAGCATTGATCGGGCCTCTCGCTGCCTACTATTGGATAACTACCGCAAATAAGCGATTGATTCATTGTCAAATTGTTGTCTCCATCCTATTCATGACCGCAAACATCTTAACCCTGGTCTCTCTGTTGACGGTGACTGCGATAAGCGTGGACAGACTACTCGGCCTGTCATTGGGACAGAAATTCAAACATGTTGTTACTTTGAAGCGAACATACGTGGTTGCAGCTGCCTTTTGGATCACGGCCATTAGCATTGCAGTACTGCCCCTGTATAATTTCCTCCTCTACTCATGGTGCATCTATACAATTATAACATTATGTCTAGCAACCGCGATATTCACTTACACCAAGATATTCTGCACGCTCCGTCACAATCACAACCGAGGAGTCTCCGCTATGCATCATATGACTCCGCTAACTGTCGCGCGTTACAGGAAGGCAGTATCCAGCGCCCTTTGGGTGCAAGCCACGATGGTCGTTTGTTTCTCACCGCATGTTGTAGTAGGTATACTGGGACAAGTTTTGCCTCAGAGTAAACCTATAGCCTCTTTGCTTTTTATTACAAAGGCGTGTACAGTGACTTTAGTTTACTTAAACTCGTCATTAAACCCGATTCTTTATTGTTGGAAGATCAAATCAATCAGAAATGCAGTGAAAGCCAGAGTCAAACAAATTTTTTGTTGTTAATCTGCTGTTTCATTTTTCGTTATAAGTTAAAAACAACTTGTAATAAACAGTTGAAGAGCTTGAAATTGTCTTCATTCTCGGGGCGTTTTTCTAGCCAGATGAAGAACCACACAGAATATGTTTCAAAATATCAGATAGAACGAAAGACGATGGAACTTTAATTGTTTCCTTTTGTTTATCAGCAGTCGTTAAAGATAACCAAACAATGGCTCCGTTCATGATTTTCTTTGGAAAAAAAAATTCAAATCGGCAGCGTCAAGTGCCACTGTACCCTTCCCAGGGAGAAACGTACCTCAAACAAACCGCCAACTAGAGTCACACAAAAACCATGTGCGCTTTAGATGAGCTCTTTTCGACTAAAACGTTCTTGTAATTAACGCTAGTGAACAAAACCTTTCAGCAGAGTTATTAGAGGGGTTCACTCCACTCTATCTAGTTTAAAGAATGACTTAATGGACTAAATGAACAGACTTGCCCTTAGGTCCTTTCGCAATTTCTTGAAACTCTTTTTCTTTTTTCGCACTCCTCCTTACTTTTGCGGATGACTCGTGCTTTGCACTCGACTCACTCTCCGGTACGCTCGCCCAGAAAAATATTGGCCATTAGCGACCGCTGCATAACGTTTAAAGTTCACTCGTAAGATATCCGCCAAAATGTTCTTATCCGGCGTTTTAAAAAACCACTGGGGTTTACTTTTCATCCAAAATCTGCCCAAAATTACGAATGAAAAGATTAAAGTGAAAAAACTTCGATTTCATAAGCATTTCCGTCTCATTTAAGAGGCTAGTAAAATCACGCTAAAAATATCTTGGGGTCAGCCGTTTTCCGTTGCAATATGGATACATGATTCCTGCCGCCAACCATTCCACAAAAACCTAATATATTCAATCTGTGTTTTATAGGATAAACAGCAAAATTCGTGGATCGTTTACTGTCGAACGCAATTGCTTTCTTTAAACCGATTTCCTTAGCTTTTTTATTCTATACACAGTCTGGCGTGGTTTGACGGTCAATTTCGAAAGAAAATAAGAAAGATCGTGTACTTTGATAAAGGGATTCAAACTTTACACATATGTTTGGTACTGTGCCGCTAATCAAACCGCTAACTTGTTCCTTATAGCCAGTATAAGGAAAGGTTGTCTTTTTGTCAATACTATAAACCAGTTTGTATGTTTTGGTTGAACTGATCACAAAACTTTAAAAGCCAACTTTTTTCCCTGTGCCAAACCGTTTTTACAAGATGACCTTTATCGCCGGGTTCTTTTACTCAAAACTGGCTAAAACAATGAGCTCCTTCTAAATAGACTTCAAATACAAATGTGACCATTTAGATCATTTTAAAATTAAAAAGCAACAAATTAAGGTAGCCTTTTAGAAGAAACATCTGGCTAAAACAATAAGGTCCCTCTAAATAGTTTGTGTTTCTTTGTTCGCCCTGGTCCTAAGCACTAGCTGACGCACATCATCATTGTTCGTTTTCCATATTGTGATTGCTAAGGTTTATCTAAGTGTCCGCTACCATAATTAATATTGGCAATCTATGAAACGTAGGATTAACGGTATTCCAGCCAAATGCTTATCAAACAATAATACAGCGTAGTGAAGTGTACAGAGTACACTATTGAGTTATGGATGCACGCGGGAGGTTTGCTAAGCACTCAAGAAGCTAGAGTCGCTCTCGGCTATCGCCTCGAGCGACTCTTACGCTTCTTTCGTGCTTAGCAACCTCCCGCGTGCATCCATAACTCAATAGTGTACGCTGTGGTGTTTACCATTTGTTAAATTCTTAATGAGCCATGAGACTGAATAAAATTTTTGTTTTTTTAAGGAGAGCGCGCTGCTAGAAAACGTGATTACTAAAAACTAAAAATTAAAACAGGTGGAAGTAGATAATAATGCATTTTAATGAAGTGATCAGAGTCCATATTCGATAAAAATACATTTTTTTTCATAAGTATTTATTGGTTCCAAGTATCAAACCTCCTTGAATGTTAGTTTTTGTTGCTGTTGTGTTTGCTTTTTTTCGTATTTTTTATTTTTGTATTTTTATTTGTATTTTTGTATTTATTTGGATTTGCTTTATGACCTTATACTGAGGTTTAGTAAACCATTTATTCAGCTTTTACATGATAGATTCTAATCCGAAACGAGCCTCTTCAGCTATAAAAGATATGTTTATTAATCGAATGTTAAATAAAGGCTCTCTACAAAAAATGAACAACAGAGACAGCGGAATCAAAGTTTCCGAAGCCAGATCCCTAAAATCGGAAAAAAGAAACTATGAGGGAAAAACGCCAACTTCTCGAACTATAGCCAAGGATCGAAATACACCAATGAGAAAGCGTTAAATCGCACCAATAGCAATTGACCAACATGCTGGATAAACAGCGTTACTCGATCATCCAAACCTCATCTATCTATAGACACTCACAGTGTAAAACATAGAGAAGTCGAAAAGTCGTGATCTTAAATTAAAAGCTCAACTCTTCATTTGATATTGTTTCGTGAGACAAATGGTTAAAAAATCATTAATTACGATGCGTTTTATTTAGATGTAAATTCACCTCGCTCAGGCACAGTAATTTTCAAAAATGGCACCAAGGAGTCTGATATTCATACATTTAGTCATTTAGAAATATTACATTCACCTGCGAAATAATCCCCAAGGTTAGTCATGAAAAAAATTGGTAAGGGGAGAGAAAAAAGGCTTCTTTATTTAGTGTTGTTCAGTATTTTTTTTTTCTCCCGTTTAATTACAATCAAGGCTCCATGGGTTCGGCTAGGTCTATCACGAAACGAAACGATCATGCACTTTGAAAAAGAACTTTGAAAAGCAGATGCCCTTTGGCACAAAAATTTCAATTAGGTCTCCTCTAAATCGAGCCTAAAAAAATGGCACATAATCTGCTACTTCTAAATAGTGTGTGATTTCTTTGTTCACCAAATTCCTGGTGTAAATAAAGATAAACTAGCACAGCTCAATTCATCATTGTCCGTTTTCCATGTTGCGATTGTTAAGTTATCTTTTAGTGTCCATTTTCTAATGAGCCAAGAGAGGTAAAATGTATTTTCAGCGTGCAATTGTTATTTGTTTTGGTAAAAAAAACATCTAAACTGTCGAGGGAAAAAGAATTTAGGAAAAAGAAAGGAGCTCAGAGCTTGATGAGATAAGTTTAAGTTCGTTGCATTTATTTCAATATATGATATTTTCAGTACATCCCTCGGGCACTAAGCTAATATATCAAATCAGAAACGCCCTTTAACTTATTACAGAATGAAAAAGAGGCGTCCGATTGTTTTCCTTTTACTCTACGGAGCTGAATCAATTTGCAACTTATTGCGACAAAGTATTTGCCTAATTCTGGCTTTCACTGCATATCTCAGCGATGCAATCTTCCAGCAGTAAAGAATCGGGTTAAAGGACGAGTTTAAGTAAACTAAGGTCACTGTATAAACTTTCGTAAGAAAAATTGATGACGATGCAGGTTCACTCGGATCCTGTAAAACTTGTGACACTACTCCAACAACATCATACGGTAAATAACACACAACCATTGTCAGCTGCACACATAATGCGCTGGACACTGCGTTTCTGTAGCGTGCCAAAGTTAGCGGAGTCATTTGACGAAACGTGTTGAGTGTTTGGTTCTGATGATGACGGAGAGTGCAGAATATCTTGGTGTAAGTGAGAATAGCGGTTACTAAACACACTGTTATGGCCGTAGAGGCGAACCACAAATACGCTCGGAAGTTTATTATGGACATCACTCCGAACATAATGGATATGACCCAGAAGGCAGTTAGAACTGCGTATACCCGCTTTAAAGTCACTTCTCGGTTGTATCTCAAACGCCACAAAAGGGCAAGAAGTCTGTCAACGCCTATTGCAGTTGACGTTAAAAGAGAGACTTGTGTTAGGATGCTGCCAATCACAAAAACTATGGCAACTGTAAGGCGACAATGAACCCATCGATCTTGATCCATCATAGAAATCCAAGAGAAGACGACCAGAGGACCAGTGATGACGCCGACAGAAATATCAGTCGTTGCAAGGCAGCGAAAGAAGAGCCTTGACGGTGGGCGAATGGAAGACTCGTTGCGTAGGGCGTCGAGAATTACAACGTTTCCAAGAAAGGCCATAATGGACAGAAAAATGTTTAAAGCTGACAAAAATGTCAAGTGAGGTCGTACGTCCTGGAAAAGAGTTTGCGGTAGAAAACAGTATGGGTTTCCTACGGTCGCTTGTTTTACGCCTAGAGTCTCGTTAACCATTCTTCTCTTGGTATATAGTTACTCGACAACGCACTCGTCCAAACTGGGCTTTCAAAATCAAATCATATTTTTGTATGGTCACTGCACGGACCCCAATTAATCAGCCCACCGCACGTTTTTGTTATGAAATAAGTATTTTAGAAGAAAGACAGCTTGAGATTAATTTACTTGAAGAAGTTAAATGGCGCCAGCCTTATCTCTTGGAAATTTTATCTATTTACGGGAGAGTGCGAATAATTACGATCACTCACAAGCCACTGATTCCCTATGTCATCTGTTAAGGAGAAAAAACTTCTCCCAACAGCACTTCCAACAACCATGCATGATCGCCTTCCAAGTAACATACGGATCATTCTTCACTTCTAAAGACGACCCAAAGAGAAACAGTACGTGCTCGCCTTCAATCCCTTTTAACATTAATCGTTCAAAACGCTAACGAAACATTTCCTATTTTGAGCTTAAATTAAGAACTCCTCTTTCCGTTCATATACATCATTTCTGCAGCTATCAAATGCCGTTTTAATAAAGCTCAATTGAAGCAGCCGTTGTAGACCATTTTTGCAGACTGAGTCTTTCAACCCTATTGTTAGTTTGACCTCTATCCAACTGGAGACGTGATTTTGCGATGAAAGCAGAGTGTAGACGTGACCATCTGCTCCAATTTAAAATCTAATATTTTTGCAGAAAATTCTTCTTTGGAATCAAAAGTGAAAAGTTTCGCATCAAAATTTCTCGTATAATTAGAAACAAGGACACTTTTCTCACTGTTAATGCAGATTTGAAACAAATCTCGAAACTTGATGATGAAGACATGCAATTAGGAGTTTTCACCTAAATGATAGCGTCAGTTTTTTCCCGGGAAATTTCAGGCGAAACAGAGACTTCAAGAAGTCGAGGAAAATTAAGTAAAATACAAACTTCCATGTAGCATTTCAGAGCTAATTTTAACCAGTAAATTCAGAATGGGTCCGCCATTTCAGTGCAATTTCTTAGTACATCATTATGGCAACCCACATGATCTGATCGAAGGTTATCATCTTTCCTAAGAAATACAGAAAATTTCATTTTGCAGTTGTTAAGTTGGAGTTTTAACTCTGAGAGTATAATATCATTTCAAGGTGTTTAACATAAAGAAGACGTTGCCACGACTGAACACTGACGATTTTTTTTAGCTTTTCTTTTAATATCTTTTATCTTGTTTATGCACGCATTGGCTGCCTGCTAATGCATTAGTGAAGTTCATGTCATGTGATTTACACAAGGTGGTGCTTTAAAAATGTAAAAATAAATGGTTGAGTTCTGGAAAAACGTCATTATTTTTGTGGTTGAAGTGATTTTACACGACAGACATTATAGCTGATTTTACCTCCTCTTAACTTGAACGTGAAACCAACTCTTAGGGTTTTCAAATAGCTAAAAGGCTAATACGAATACACCTTGGAAACGCAGTGCAGACTAAACAACTCTAAATGATGATTTCTAAAAGAATCCACGTCGTAGAGGAACCAATCAGAAACGTTCTATCGATCGACGAAGCAAAATTTTAATTCGCCATGTAGTTTTGACCGAAAGCAAAGGCTGCCGACTTTCAGGCAAGATAGTTTTCTTCATGTAAACACTTGAGACCAAACTAACGGCTCTGAGGGAAAAGAACGATGTTCTTTTGTTCCTTGGACGAGAGGAGGCGAGCTGAGCAGAATTAACATCTTCCTTTCGCGGTAACAAGTTAGATCAATTCTATATAAGTTCCTATAGGACGAGTGTCTCAAAAAAGGGGCTATAGCGATAAAGAAAACCTTTCATTTCCGAGGACAAAGAGGTAACATGACAGCTGAAGCTGATAAGAGATCGAGAAAGTAGCTTCTTGCTTAAAAACAGGTTTGAAATAAAAAAAACCCTAATTCGTACCAGAGAGGATAAAAAATTTATGACGAAACTTGATATAAGTGTCTTACTGAACGCGGCCGTATCGAGTTCAGTGAAAATTTATTCCATGATGAAAAACACCTTAAAATACAGATTTCCCTCAAGGGAGTTTCTGTCACAACAAATTTTGATGCCACATGTGGGCGCTTTTGAAATTTATAATTTGTCGGAAGTGGGGCGTTCGTTCAAAGGGCTATATTTGTCACCAAGATACGGTGATCCTCACAATCGGACTCAATTTCTGGATTGTTTTTCTTAAGTTTACTGTGAAAATTATTGTATGAAACCATCTGCCCTTACTTCGTGATAATTATTTCTCGCGATGATATTAGACGACGCATTAAATTATTTGAATAATTTCCAAAGTCGTTAGAGAAGGTCTCCACTATACTTTATTGATTAATTATTCCGCTAGAGAGGAGACGCTTCGATCTTATTTTTGAGCCCGAAAGGAGAACTCGTTTGAAACTTACGCAAATTCAAGCATTTACGATCGTTAGGCCTTTGAGCATTGTTTTAAAAGCGTTTGCTCCTCAGTATCTTCATAGAATTATTACAAGAAGTGTTCTGGCGCCATCGATATGTCGCCAACTGATGATTATCATGATGTTTTGAGCGTTGTCATGTGACTGATGATAACAAGGGATCGAACGAGAACTTTCGTGTCATTGGCGTAATAAATGAGGATTCACAACCAGCTCGTGTATTATTCGCGTAGGTTTTATGATGTTATTTGATTCGCTCCTATGGTTGAAGGGGCTACTCATTCTGAAGATTAGCCCACCAGGGATCAACGTTGTCAGGTTTTATTTGTACTAGAGTGAGACACGGCTTGTTACATCCGTGGTTACGTCGTAGTCAACTGAAAATTAAATAATTTCGGGATACATTATTATCTAAAATATTCTTAGTCGAAGCAATAAACGAATTCGTAACTTTCAATTTGTTTCTGAGTAGTTGGATCCCTTTATTCGCTATCTCGACGCTTTATCTTGATGCTTGCGTTTACGACTGTTGATGACCAGGTTCGAATGTTGTTACAGCATAAATTGTTCTTTTTAAATTATAAGTCACATGACCTAATTTTCCCGCCGCGCGTAGTCGAGGCGAATTCGCAATTTCGATAATTAATTCTAGTTCTTTACTACACGGTCCACTGAACATGCAAATCATTATTCGTGGCCATTGATTTAACGCAGTCGTCGTTAAGAAGCCGATTGAATGTCAATACACTTTTTACTCTCGACAAGTCAAACAACTCGCGTCCTTATCTAGTTACAATAATTCTACAAATCGAGTCACCAGCCTAAGGATAAGATGGCGAATGAAACTATCTATGGTGGACAAAACACTGTCGAAAATATTTACTGTTCATTTCCAAACACTCTCGTCGAAGACATAGAGCTCCGAATAACATTTTTGTTAGTTTTAAACATTTTCATTTCCTTAGCTGCAGTTTTGGGTAATGCTGTGATCCTCGATGCTCTTTCCAACGATCCCTTTTGTCGTTCATCCTCCAGGTTCTTCCTTCGCTGTCTGGCAACAAAAGATATTTGTGTTGGACTTATTTCAGAGCCTCTCACTGTCTGTTACTGGTTGTCCACGGTGAAAGAACGATGGAATAATTGTCATTCCTTGGTAACCGCTGTTTTCGTAATCGCCAATATCTTAACGCTATTCTCTTTGATGACAGTGACTACAACTATTATCGACAGATTTCTCGCCTTGAAGTTGGGACTCAGATACAAACATGTGGTAACGCTAAGACGTCTTCGTATAACTTTAGCTGCCTTTTGGATCGTTTCGTTCGCCATTGCAGTAATTTCCTTGTTGAATTTCCCCGCATACCTATGGCATGTTTATGTTGTTACATCATTATGCTTGGTAACTGCATCATTCGCCTTCACCAAGATATTCTGCACTCTTAGTGCACATCAGAATCAAGTACTTGGCTCTGAGCAACAGAAAACTTCGTTGAACTTAATGCGAATTAAGAAGGAAGTGTCCAGCGCTTTTTGGGTGAAGTTGAATATGATTGTTTGTTATCTCCCGCATATTATAGTTGGTGTGGTAGCGCAAGTTTTGCAGGATCCAAGTGATCCTATATCAACAACTTTTTTTATTACAAAGGCGTCTGCACTGACTTTAGTTTATTTGAACTCGTCATTAAACCCTATTCTTTACTGTTGGAAGATCAAATCCATCAGACATGCTGTGAAAATCAGATTAAAAAAACTACTTTCTCTTTAGCTCTTGACGAAATATCGATCTCGATCAATATATCGACACCAGCGACACATAGTTTTAAATAACGTCTGAGCCATCGAATTTGAATATTAAAGCACGCATTGCCAGTCAATATAACAACATGACGTATTTCATTCGTTGTCGTAAAGGCATATACCAAAATGATGTACGCGATTAATTCATCAAATAAAGATACAAAATCAACATCATTCGTTTCATGTCCTCTCCAACAATCTGCTCTTCTTCATTAACAGTCCGTACTGATCAGTAAATAAAGTAAAGGCTTCAGCTTTTCGCGATATGGACTCAACGGAACTGAGCGATGCCAGATGCGTCATGTTACCCCTACGGCGAAACGTTTCTTTCTATTCAGCGGGATTTGACTTGAAAAGAGGAGGAAAACGGGTGACCTTGTTTAAATTATATGAAGATATCAACAAAGTTGAAATGGTAAATTGGCCACCGTTACGATTATAAAAGCTGACGTTGCTTCTCATTGTCAAAAAGATATTTTCAAATATTTTCGAAAATTGAGAACAACGAGATTCGCGGCCTGAGAAAAATTTAGTGGATGAATAGTTTGGTCAGGTCAGACTGTTTTATAAATATAGTTTACGTCATAGAAAATGCTTTCTACGGGGTTTTATTCACGAGTTGTTTGTGTCAAAAACCAGAACGAGCGAGGCACGAGCGAGTGAGGGCTTTTGACACAAACAACGAGTGAATAAAACTCCATACAAAGCACTTTCTATGTCGTGAGCTGTTTTTTGCACATAACACGAGAATTTTCATCGAAATAATTTTCTGAACGCAAATTGGAAACAAACTCACTAACAATGCAAATTTAATGGCAATGGAAAGTATCGCAGAACATGTATATCATGGGAATAAAGTGCTGTACAGAAAACTGCACTTACAAAAGTTTTTTTTTTTTAATCTAAGTACGATATCAATAAAGCAATTCTAGCAAAGGCCAAATTTTGCGAGCAATTTTAAGTTGAGAATACGAGCATGCGAGCAGTTGCAAAAGTTTTGCGAGCACGAGCAAGCGTGCGCCCGTGTAATTATTTCGAGCAATTCGATTGATTGTACTTCGACACGTGAAAGAGCTGTACGCCATTCTGATTGGCTGTATAGGCTTTTTTCACATGTGAAAATAAAGCTATAGATTTCTACAAATGAGCTTTATGGAATAAAATTCTCGTTTTATGTGTAATAAATATATCTTACTAGTCCGACGTTTTTTGTGTAGTATATGGCTGAGTATTTTTACGAGTTGTGTCGTACTTTGACGAGCCCGTAGGGCGAGTCAAAATACAAATAACGAGTAAAAATACTCAGCGATACTACACAACAAAACGTCTAATAACTTATTTATTATCCAACACGCCAAACTGTTGTTTCTGTGGGCGAATTTCGTGGATAGTTATTTACGTCGAGTGCTTGACAGAAGTATGTGAAGCGGAACGGAATTGGCGCGTTGTTGTGTTGCTGTTTCTATTTTCTTCACTAAATGAAGAAATTTTCTGGTCGTCAAGCTGTTTTTCTTCGTTCGATTCAACAAATGAACGTGGATCTATATTTGCCAGCCATTCTGACTCTTCGCCGTCGGAAATAGGATTGAAATTGTCCGCCACTTTTTTTTTTTCCGTAACTACAATCCAATTCTTCGCTTGCGCGATGCGAGAAAACTAGTTTAACCGGTACTACAATAGACGAGTACAAATACCGCGTGATATTTGTACTCGTCTATGGCGTTATTCGTACTCGTCTAGGTGTAGTTGGATAATAAAACACTGAATCAAACAATTTCAAATTTAGCGAGTCGGCTTACTCTTAAGATGAAATACAATCGAAATAACCTAAAATGTAATTAATACCTCGACTCTTGATATATTTGTTCACTCTCACAAATTCACTTTTAATCTGCAATAACTTGCTCTCTGATGTTTTGGTTCTTCTCTTTGGAAGCCCTTTATTGACTACAGTTGTTTACTTACGATCTAAGCGTGTCCCATAGTAGATAACAACGGCTGCGTTAGTCTTTTAACTGGGACAATCTTTCCAGACATGCTGAAGCTATTTTTGAATTATTTCTGTAACTCATCATGAGAGGGTTTCTTTTCCTCTTTTTTTTTTTTTTTTCGCGCAATTTTTGTTCTTTCACGGTTCAGTTTCTTGTGAAAGATTGACAGTTCCCCAACGAAGGCGTCAAAAACGACAAAATTGAATATGGTTTTGAAACACAGGAGCCCCATATTAAATTTCTGCCCCTTACAAAGAGCAGATGGTTTTTCGCGCATCTTATTTGCAGCATTTTTAAACAGATAATGTTGGAATAATAAATATGCAAGTGGCTTCGGCTCAGTTTAATGAAAACTCGTGGAGTTTGTGTGGTTAAAGAAGTCAACAAGGACGAGAAAAATGCATCTTCGTTTCAAAATGTTGGAAGCTTTAGTTTATTAATGGCACAGGATATAAATTAGGTATAATCAAACCAGTTAGTTTAGAGTGGAACCACATGCGTTCCCGTTGTTTCTTTTCTTCCCTTCAATTGCTTTCAACCAAGAGAAATCTTTTACTTTAAAAGGAACCACTTTGAAGTACTTTTCGCATAACAAAGCCATTTCTTTATAGTTTTATTTCCATGGTAGTTTCAATTTATTTTCAGCCCTCAAAGCGCCTCTTAAATGGCCTCTTCTATGATAAAACGATTCAGATCTGGATCCAAGACCATACAATACGCTTGAATAAATTAACATTCTTTTTTTTTTAAGGAACAAGATTGCTTTGTTTTCTTACCAGTCGCTGTTTATCTTTTAAAAGCGTCCAGAGTGGCTGCAAATTTCGATCGAGAAAAACGTTTAGCAAAACTTGCCGCTCAATTATTCTTCACTTTATTGTTCTCAGCTCTATATTTTAGTTGTCATTGTTGTTTTTTGTTTTTTTCGTTTTTTGATTTTTCTGCGCTTCAAACATAATGGACCTTTAATTCCGGCATATTTTTTTGGTTTTTTTCATAAGCATGAAGGGTCATAAAGAATGTATCGGATACAAGTCCCCCGTAGGATTTCAAAGAAATTCACCAAGACGGTATGCTTGACAGTTTGATGATACATGTACCAATTTGCACCTCGGAGGATAGAAAGCTATTATGAGAGTAAAAAGCCAACACGATGCAATAACTCCAGCAGAACTCAAATTCGAGCCATCCAACCCCAGTAGAGCTGAATGCGCTAGCCACCATGGAGACACGTTTCACGCATTATCTCAATAACAAGGGCGTTCAGAAAAAGGAAGGGAAAAGTTAGTCCAAAACACATCGTCTAAGTAAAAGTTTGTTTCCAAAGGCATAGACTAGCAGCTTAGTCGGTAGAGCAACGGTAGATCCAATCCGGAGATCGTGGGTTCGATTCCCGCCCCCTAGGTCATAAGATTTTTTCCTTTACCCAGTGTGGTTCCCTGATACCCTATAGTAGGGCTAACACCCAGTGGGTTTTTCATGGGTTTCACTTAGCACTTAAATTTACACTTCACAGTTAATTCTCTGTTCCACCTATTAGGTAAAATAGCCTGCTTAGATGATTTTACAAGGAAGACCGGCAAAAGTTGACATCCAACAAACAAACTTTCTCTCTGTTCTTTGGTCGCCATTACTCCACGGATTTTGTAAAGTATGACATTTAAAGAAACTATGTAAGATGACGTATGACTTTGAATAATGGTACGTTTAAGGGGGCTCTGAGCTTATAAACATTCGTACGACAACTGCAATTTCTTGTTCCAAACAAAGCGATACCCAAGTGCTCTTTTTTAAGTTATGAACATGAAAGAATTCATATTTCTAAGAAGTTTTGATTCTGTAATCCGTAGGCAGAAACAAGAAACGAGAACTGAGAATCTGAATTAGCCCCGTTAATTGAAGCAAGAAAGACAATCAGTTTAAAAAAGAAAAACATCCGTGAGTCAAATTAAGAGCGGAATTTTTATCTGTTGACTTTTGATTTGCGGCGCTGTCAAGAAATTTATTACATACGGGAAGTATTTGAAGTACTACAGAGGTCCACCTCAGGATATGTCACAGTTTATCAACAATTTAACTGCGATCTACACCGTTACTTTTTCTTTACCTGTACAATTTTTTCCGAAGTCAGCTAAAGATTGTAAATGTTTGGTGCCGGGTACCGTCCTTTATCCGAACACTTTCTCTAATAGTCGGTACATATTTCCCAGAGGAACGCAGAGGGACGAATTTGTCACAGATAACAATGAGCTGCCGAAAGGCTATTGATATTAGCTGAAATGAAAATTATACATAAAGCAAATAGTTCTGCAATTACTTGTCATCTATACACTTGAGTTTCACTCTAACTGCTTTCAGGCGGCTTCCTTTGAAAGAAAAAACAAAGCATAGAGGAAGCCGAGGTATATGATCTCTCGTTATAACGAAGCCGTTATGGAGCATCTGTCAATAATTTTCACTAATGGAGACTGCAGTGGCTGAGGATGGAACGTTTCATCCATTTTAACCCTGCTAACAGAAATGGTAAACATTACAGTAAGTAGTGGAAAGCACGGAGCATTCGGAGGATTTTGCTCAGCGGAACGTCTACCTAAAGGGATACAAAACCAGCTGAAATCCCTGACAACGTTCACTTTATCTTTATCCCTGACTGCAATTTTAGGTAATGCGCTGATCTTGGCTGCCTTACGCAAGCAATCGTCCATTCATCCGCCATCAAAGCTATTGCTCGGCACCCTGGCTGTAACTGATCTCTTTGTTGGGCTTATATCAGAACCTCTCTTCGCTGTGCATTTGCTATCTGTGGTTAACGAACGATGGAATACCTGCGAATTGACGTACTCCATGGCCTTTATTGCAGGTTACATTCTGGGCTCTGTGTCTTTGTTAACACTGACTGCAATAAGTGTGGACAGGCTTCTCGCCCTGTTGTTAGGGCTGAGATACAGACAAGTTGTAACGCTTAAGCGAACATCTTTGATGATAGCTACCTTTTGGATCGTTTCAACCGTGGCAGCAACAATGTCCCTTCAAAACTACTTCATAACCCTATGGTATAGCTACATTGGTGCTTTTCTATGTTTATTGACCTCACTCTTCTCCTATGCAAAGATTTTCAACGCGCTCCGTCAACATCAGGCCCGAGTAGAGGCCCTTACTAATCAGGCCCGAGTAGAGGAATCCCTTGCTCAGCAGCCAGGGGGGGT